ATATATATTTATATTATACTGTAAGCAATTATATTAGTCCTTTGACATTATCATGGAAACCATTGAAAATGGATAAAAAAAACTAAAGTTCAAATACACCTACGTAAAATACAGATGTCTCTCTTCCTCTCATAAAAGAAAATCCTGACGAAATAACAATGAAAAAATCAAACGGAAAATAACTTTTTGATGCAGTTTAAACTATCTCGACATGAATGACGTCGTTAATCGTCTTCAAGATTACAATTCAGTACTCTTCGATGTGATTTTAAACATTTTTTATTTTTAAAACGTGAGAAATCCTCTCTCTCTCTTACAGAAGCACGAATAATTTCTCCATATTTTTTATTCTTTCTTTTCTTTTCTTTTCCTTTTTTTTCTTTGTTTTGTTCTATTTCACGCTCATTTTCTTCCTTCTTTTTCCTCGCCAATTTTTATTTTTTTTTTTTTTTACCCTTTCTCTCTTCTCCATTCTTTCATTTTCATTCATTTTTTGTCTCACCCTCTCTCTCTCTCTCTCTCTCTCTATTTTTTTTTCTATTTATCTAAATCTTTTGTCGCCATTCATTCGTTCCCAAATAGTCCACCTAAAAAATGATTTTTCGAAACTCGAATCATTTTTAATGATGAAAAGAGAGAAGGATGAGTAAGAAAAAAGAATAGAAAAAGAAAGATATATATATATATATGGGAGATAAAAGCATCGTTTTACGCAGAAGCAGAAAGACGCCGACTCCGCAAAGTTGCGTATTTCATCTTACGTACGGATTCAAAGGAGAAGAAATAAAAAAAATATAAAAAAAAAATGATTCCATGTATTCGAAACGAGGAGAGGAAAGAAGATTCTTAAAGTGTAACATAAAATGCGTTCTCTCATTTCTAATTAAAACTATACTGCGTTATTAGTTTTCACTGACGATTGATGTAAACGATTCTATTTCAAATTAAATGAAATTAACAAAACCATTGAAACGATTTTATATTTGTTTTCTTAAAAATTAATCGCTGAATCGTCTCGTTAAGGATTAACAACGAACCATTCAATTAAAATCTATCTCGTTAACATTTAATTTTTGTTGTTTTTTTTTTTCATAGACGAAACTTGTGTGTGTCCGCCATATTGAATATATAAAAATAATAAAAATATGATAGATAGATTTGTTATATCAAAACGTCATTACACCAAGAATTGTTTTCGAATAACCGATGATTCTGCATTGATACAGATAACGAGGCGACCAATCAAATTCAATCAGTATGACATTTAATTTAGTTCATCAAACAGATCTGTCAGATTCGATGAAAGCACACAAATAACATTGAAATGATTTTTTTTTTTATTAAATGCCATTAAAAACCTAAAATTTTTTATCAAATACCCAATCGTCGCATCGATACGAATCAGTTAAAAATCAATTTCGTTAACATTTCATGTTTTCTAATCAAACAAATCTGTCAAATTCCACGCAATCTTTTTTAAAAAAAAAGAAAAAAACCCTCTCATTAAATCGAAAATTTGTCTTCGACTAAACCAATCATCGCATTGATACAAATAACGAGGCGACCAATCAAAAACCAGTCTCGATGACGTTCCATCATTTCATTAATCAAACAAATCTCTGTCAGGGAGATTCTAATGAAAATCAAAGAAAAGTACAATAAAAAAGGATTATTTTTTTCGAAACGCCATTAGAGCACGTAACATTTTTTTGTCCGAGAGAAACTAATCACCGCATCGCAGCTAAAGGATAACGAGGCAACCAATTAAAATCAATCTCGTTGACAGTTCATTTTCTTCATGAAGAAAATCGTAAGAAAAATCGTAAGATAAGAAGAGGAAAAAAGAAAAGAAATTAAATGTAAGAGAGAAAAAGAGAGACAGGCAATGGGGGAGGGAGGGAGGAAGAGAGAGAGAGAGAGAGAAAGAAAAAGAGAAAGAGAAGTCGACGATCGTTACGAGGAAGAGGGAGGAGGCGAAGGAGGAAAAGGAAGGGTGAAGGGGGTGCGGGTTCACTTGGAAAGTACTTGGAACATATTAAAGCACGAAGCACCGGCGCGTGCATCGATCGGAGAGAGAGAGCGGCTCCTGTTTGACGGCGGCCATGGTAAACTTTCTTTTTCTCATCGTGATGCGACATTTCTTTAGGAAATTTAATAAACCGAAAACGTCAAATCGTACAATGACAATCAATGACAATGAGGAGACTAAGAGAATGATGACAATGACTACGACGACAACGATGACAACGATAACGACGACGACGACGACGACGACGACGACGACGACAAATAGGGAAGGAGGAGGCAAAGGAGGAGAAGGAGGACGAATCGATCGATGGTCGCCATCGTTGTCGACGAATTTTACGAACCAATCAGCATTCTTCGTTGTAAATCATTGCTTATGCATATGCGAAATAAAAAGGACGTTGTTTCGCCGATAAAATTAAAAAAAAAAAAAAAAAAAAATTAACAAACATATCGTTTTGTAACTTTTTCATTTCGTACCTTAATAATCTTGCAAAGTAAAGGAAAATAATAATAAATGATAGATAGGAAGAAGCCTTTCTTGTGTATATAATAGGGAGAGACATTGCTTGTGCTTCTTGAATCCTTATTACTCGTATCTCATCATCATCATCTCAAGTAMCCCAGCCACAAGACTTTCCAAGAGTCTAACCACATTGACTAAATGTAAAAAGCAATCTTTGATTGAGCCGACATTTAATAATCCCATGTTTCTGACAAACTTCGTAGTATATACTCCACCTCATTCGTATATATATATATATATATATATTTGAAAGTATATGCATTCTTAATAAGAATTAATATTCGCATGGAACGTCATTGCGGCTTTCTCTCGAAATGAAAAAGAAAAAGGAAAATAAAAAATATGAGCCCCTGTCGTAAGGGATTGATTATTTACGCTTTTTAGGTAAACTCACCTGAACGCGAGAGACCAAGAGGACGCCCAGGAAGAACGCGGGCAGCATCATCCCCTTCATCTTCCTGCCTGGCTGCTGCCTCTACTTCTGCTTCCTTCTTCTTCTTCTTCTTTTCCTTGTTCTCTCTTTCTCAGACACTGGTACTTCGCTTTAGAATCTCCTCCTGTCTCTTTCACGACGAAATGGATGGATGATCGAACGTACGTGACGGAGCTTTGAAAGGAAATTGATATTCTTTTTTCTACCTGTTTGTATGTATATATATATGTATCAGGTTAAAATATTCTAATCCCTTTTTCTCTAATATTCTCGTCCCTCGCGTTCCGTAAAATAATACGATATTAGAAAAATTCGGCGCCGTATACGTAAGCGCACACGGCAATAGCGTTAATGCGCGACTGCTTGGATATCTACCTTGGTGCTGCTGCTGGTGCTGCTTTTGCCGTCGCCACAACCACCTCCACATCCACCACCACCACCACCTCCGTCGCTACCATTACCACCACCACCACCATCAACACCACCACCCCACCATCGTTGTTGCCGCCGCTGCCGTTGCTGCCGCTGTCGTTGGGTGGGTCGCTCAAAGAGAAATCCAATATGGCGTCACGGCGCGGCACAGTACCGCTGAACCGGCTTAGCCAATCAATGGCCACCGCTCGATGACCGCGCCGATAAGCGCATCTCACATGCGCTCCTTGACCAGTCGATAACGTGGCGGGAAATCTGGTAATTTGAATGCTCTCTTGTTAAACTGCTAATTTTCCCGCTTTACTTTTCTTTCTTCATATATTTCACCTATTTATACATTTCACATATATATAAATGTATATAGATAGATATATATATATATATATATATATTAGAATATGATATTAAATTTAAATGATTCGTTTAAAATTCATGAAATCAAATCTTTGTTAAAATGAGAGAAAAGAGATTTCTATATAATGACACACACGTTTTAATAAGTAGAGTGTAATATCCAATTAAAATTTAAAGTTTATTCTCGTTAATAGAAATATTGGAATGAATATTTCTTTGTAGATGAATCTTTTTCAAGTTTTCAAGATATTAATACTTTTTTAAATAACTTATTAACAACGCTATTACTATTTTTTTTGTTATTACATATGTCGAATTAGTTAAATACATTTGTAATTCTATGATAGTAGAATTTGTAAGATATATTTTTATAATGAATGATTTCTTAATATATATATATAAGTTAATCTTACGTTAAAATAATAAAAACCTTTTTTCTTTTTTTTAATTTAAACACATATTCATAATTTTAACGAACTGCAAAAATTTAACAAAATAAGATTTTAACGATAAATTAACACAAGCTAATAGAAAAACGGATTACTCATTGTTTATTTCGTAGAATCGATTTCTGTTCTTTCGAAATATTTCTTGTTATAATGTAGTAGTGCTTATCGATAATATTCCCAAATCTCACTGATTAAAGTAGAGTAAAGTAGAGTGAATGAGTGAGTGGATGAGTAAGTGAGTGCGTTCCGTTTGAACGTGAAGTCGTCTAGAACGAGAGGCGTCTGCCGATGTTGAAGAGAAACCCCGACCATTGGCAATCGATGACAAAGGGAGTTTCTCGTGCGCCGCAGTAAATTGATCTTCAGAAAGTGTACGTGGGGGAGGAGGACAAAGTCGTGAGTACATAGCGTAGGTATAGGAGAAAAAGCGTATAAAAGAGAAAAAGAGTAGGGCCAGCCGGTTACACGGGCGGGAAAATGAGAAAAGAAAGAAAGAAAGAAAGAGAAGAAAAAAGAAAAGGGAGAAAGAGAAAGAGAAAGAGAAAGAGAAATCCCCGATGCCGAGGGCGAACTCAACAACCTGTAGATACTAGACTACTGTTGTAGCACGCGACAAAATAACGATAGAATTTCTTTTTTTTTTTTTCTTCTTTTTCTTTTTTTAACTTTCCTATTTTGTCTCGTTTTTTTCTTTTACCCCTTTCTCTATTTTCTTTTTTCATTTTTCCATTTATTTCTTTGATTTGTTTGGCAAATGTGAAATTATTGGTATCCTTCGAAATCTATTTTCTATGAGAACGATTTCTTTGTCTTCGGTATTTCATTTTCTCGTTCAATGAATTTTGACGAGAAAGAATAGAAAACTTTATATTTCAAAGAGTTCTGAAACTCTTTATATTGTCATTTTTTCTCTAGCTTATAACTAGATATTTTGGTCTTTATCGTTGATATTGATCAAGTGATCTATACCCAAAATTACATTCGTGTATATTTTATGGTAATTCAACGAATTTGCATTTTAATTTTACGCTCGATTTTTTTTTAATTGTTCTAGTTTGTAAATATCGTTTTTTTTTTCTATTTGTCGTATTTGCACAGTCACGTGATCAGCGCTGATTTATTTTACATATCTTTTATAAAAATAAACGAATTTGTATTGTAATTTTTTCTCATTTTTGTGTAAATTGTTCTAGTTTATAAGTATCGCCATTTGTATCGTTTAATTTGCACGATCGCGTAATTAACGTCAAACAATTTGTCTTACATATTTCTAATGAAAATAAATTAATTTCTATTCAGATTACTACTTTTATTAATCGTTTCAAATTTATAAGTGTCACTATTTTTATTCTTGATTTAAGACGATCACGCGATCATTTTACATAATTTGTTATGGAAATCAACGAATTATCATTTCGATTTCCTTTTTTTTAATTTCATCGATTAATTTTTTAAACGAATTGATATCTCCCACAATCGTTAATTAGTAAAAATATATATATATATTGAATTAGAAAAAGAAACTATAATTAAACGAATAATATTAAAGATTAAGTACCCTTTAGCATAGGTAATATATAAACTTATCATACCGTTTCATATAGTGGAGTCATCGTTACTACCTAATATTGATTTTCGGTACAATCAAAGCCGATTCACAAACAATCGTATCGAGTGCTTGAAGTAGGGAATATAATGCCACGCCTTGAATAATATCAAACGAATAATATGAACGAAGAAAACACGATCAGCTAGCTATCTATCTGCATATTAAACTTTTTCACATAATATAAATACGTACGTTTGATTGCTAAAAGACACACGCATCTGATTTAAACGAACTCTAACAAACTAAATAAACATTGGTTTAAATTAAACAAATAATAATAAATTTCATTTCGTTGTGTGCATACATTTCGTACCATTACAATTAACAAATGTTCGAAACAAAGAAAGAGAGGGTTGAGAGAGAGAGAGAGAAAGAGGGGTGGAATAAAGCTAAATAAAAAAGGATAAAGAAATTAAAGGCTTAAAAAAAAAAGAAATAAAAGAATCACTGTAACAATAAGTATTTATCTTTTGCTTTCTTTTTTGTCCTTTTTTAGAACAGCATGAAAATGCATAAGTGGATAGCCTTGGCCTGTTCCAACACTCGTGTGTCGGGCACCGTACCTACTGGTTACCCTGGAAACGGTATCGATTTCAACCCTCAGCTATGCAGTAGAAGCCAACACCAACACCATGGGGTCTTTTCATCTTCAGTTTCGACGAGGTACGGAGGCCTTTTCGTCAACCCGATTACAAGAAACCCCATTCTTCTGTTTCTTTGTCTCTCTCTCTCTCTTCTTATTCTTCCCTCTTCCTATTCGATGTATGCAATTTCGGAAAGATACAGGAATTGCGCAAAACAGGGTTTCACAATAGGAAAATGATTCGTAGATATCGTTACACGTAAAACATAGTTCTTGAAATAATAATATCGAACGATGCATATCTTAATTTGACACTTTAATGAATTTTAATAATGAACGAATCAAAGGTGGAACACGTCATTCCTTTTTTTTTTTTTGCTTCTTGTTTGTTTCTCGGTTTCTTTTTTTTTTTTTTTTGCAATTGCTTCAATTAGTAATTATGCAAATGATCTCTTATTAGATTTATAATGTCAAATGCGGAATGACTAAATGTTAAAAAGAATTCATGTTCAAAGCTGATACCGCGATTACACGGGATAAAACACAAGGACCCATGGGAAATTACAGACAATCCTTTCAGGTACATTAAACGAAAGAAGAGTAAACAAGCTTGGATTTAACTAAATATATAGTTTTTGTTGGAAGGGGGCCCAAATTAGGAAATGCCAATTAAATGTTTGGATTTTCATGTATTATACGTATATATAATGTTTTTGTTGTTGTTTTTATATGATAACTCGTACGCTCCTTTTTTTTTTTTTTTAATATTCTTCTCTAATTGGTTTTACGTTGTGCACGTAGAAAATCTCATGTAGATATTTATTTATAACAATACTCGATTAAACTATTCTAATTATATTCATAAGAAATTTTTCTATTCGTCCTTCAAAAAAAAAAAATTAGGACATTTAAATAATAATTTTATTATTATTATTATGCTAAGTATAAATATTTAAATTAAAATAAATAAAAATAATATTATGCTTGTGTTATTGCACATCTACGATCTTCTCTGATATATGCAAATATGTATTATGCATGCAGTTTTGTTATTATTAAATATTCGTATTATAATTGCTCGAAATAGTACGCATATTACTTACGCAGTATTACTTGAAAAAAGTTTTCAATTATCTTGAAAACTGTAAATTTTGTAAAAAAAAAATCATCCCTATCACCTGTGTGATTAAAATTTTTATAAATATTAAAATAATACTAATTCTTTTCTCTCTCCACCTCTTCTCTTTTCTAAAAAAAGAAGAAATAGAAATAATAATAATAATAAAAAAGAAGACTATCTTATCTTATATTTAGCGAGGAAAGGGTTGATGAAAGTTTCTCTTTATTTATCCTTCTCCTTATTAACTTCAAAGACTCCGCAAACTTTGTTTGCTGGTACTGCCTTGTCTGAAAAATTATTTACATTAGCAATTTAAATTTTGTATAAATAACAATATAGAAATATGTCAACAAAAAAAAAAAAAGAATAAATTAAATATATATTTAAATATTATATTAATAACTTTACCAATCATTTTTGGATAAGGAAGATTGAGATTATTCATAATATGTACAAATTCGTCCAATGATTTAGATAATCTAGGATTCAACAATTTTTCTTCTGCAACAGTAGTCACAGTTCTACCGTTGTAATCGTGCGCAGGATATAGTCTGTAGTATAATGGTAAAGTAAATATATTGTCGTGTACAGATTTGTATAATGTTTCTGGTGAGCCACCCTAACAGAATAGAAAAATCTTGATACTATACAAAATGTATTATATTGATTAACAAAAAAAAAAAAGAATATTTTTTATTTTTTATACAAACCTGAAAATCTGTCCTTCCACATCCACGTATTAACAAAGCATCACCCGTGAAAGCGATTCCCTGTTCGTCACATACATACGTCACGCATCCTACATAAAAATGTTTCAATGTAAAAGTTTAATATAAAATTTATTTTATGCGACACACATCGTTCAATATTTCACACGTATGTATACTTATATATATATATGTATGGTTTTTATATTGAATCATATATTGATTATTCGATAGTACTATATTGTACGTTTACATAAGTAGTTATGTATTATGTTGTATAAAATTGTCTCACATAAAATATTATTTTTTAAAGACTTATTGAACAGATTATAATATAAATTTTGTAATATGTGTTAAATACAAAAGTAATAAAAAAAATAACGTAATAGAAATAAAAGTTATAATAAAAGAATTTTTAAAAATATTATA